GGGGAGGATGCGGTCGGCGCTGGGGGTGTAGGTTACCGTGTAGCGGACTACCTCGCCGATCTTGACGCTGCCTACTTGGTGCAGGAGCAGCATTGTTTGGATGGCTCGCTCGCCGCTATTGGGTTCGTCCCGGAGGAGGAAGGGGGATGTAGTAGAGTTCGGCAAGATGTATTATGGTTTCGCGGGCGGAGAGCGACGACGGGTGTGATGTCACATCACGGACCGGCCGGAAAGTGTGGGACTGTCTGTGCGTGGGCTATTTTCGGGGCCGGTAGAGTCGGGGATTAGGCTTGTGAGGGGTTCTGGACAAGGCGGAATCATGCAGTAACAATATAGACGAACATAGGACACGTAGGTACAGCTGCGGACATGGCTGGTAGGGACACCTCTTATGCAGAAGAGAAGAGACGATCGCGGTTGTTGGGAGGAATAACGGGATGCACCTCTTTGGGAATGCGAGCCAGAGGCTGAGAGACGCTAGAGCTGACCCACCCCCACTGTATCGTTCAGCACACCCGTCAGGTACTCTTGGCACCAGACTTTATCTGGGACTGAGCTGGTTGTCCACCACGAGGTCAAGTCATGCATGCATGTATTAACACAACTAAAGAGACTCACCATGATGCACAGGTAACGCCAGAAAAAAACACAACGCTTGCCTCCTATCAGCTACCGAACTCCAATACTTCCCCTCAAACCTAGTAATACACTTGCAGTATCGCTACTCAGAATCTGGAAAGCAATAGGACCGCCCATCCCAAACACAGCAGCCGTCATGAAAGCCAAAAAAAAATACAAACCAATGATATGTCATTAAATCCGTCAAGTCGAGCGTCATAACATTCACACCTCACTAGCCCCCCATAACCCTCCCCTCCTCCTCCGGCGGGACATCCTCCACATAGTTGACCCACTCGGACACCCTGTGCATCCCCGTCCCAATCCCCGTGAGCCCGGCGAGCCTGGACCCCTTCGGCTCCTCCTCCGGCTCCCGTCTGTGCTGCCGACTGGCTTTGTTTCTTCTCCCCGATCTCCGAGAACCACTAGTCTGCACTGGTGGCGGTGGAATGACTTCCTCCTCGTCATCGTCAAAATCATCCGTACGGCGATGCACCCTCGTCCGGCCGGAGGGAGCCCTCGGCTGCTGCGCTGGCATGCTTCGCGTTGGGTATAGTTCTTCTTCCATGGTGTGTCTTCGCCTAACGGGCGTGATGCCTGGCGAGGAGTGGTGCCCTCCCATGTGCATCATTTGCGGTGGGGGAGGAGGAGGCATGGGCATTGGCATGATGGGCATGGTTGCCGCTGTCTTGAGCATTGGTGGCGGAGGTGGAGGTAGAGGTCCCTGGGTTCGAGGCGGACCATTTCTCAGATCCGAGTTGAACCTGTCCGCCAACCTCCTCTCCATCGAGCTCGCTCGGGGTACGCCGCGGGCGCGGTGAACACCCGAGACGTAATCTGTCCCTCCTCCTGGCATTGTTCTGTCGTATGTCGGTTGCTGTTGGCCCCTGGGTTCTGTATGTGGTGCCGGGGGTACGATGAGCGTCTCCGGCCTGCGCCGGTAGTCGTCGTTCATGTGGTGCCCGGCGGAGTGCCCTATCCCGTGGATCTCTCCTATCCGTCCCTGGTAGTCATCGTCTTCGTCGTAGTCGTCCTCATAGTGGCCCAGAGCCCGCATGCGGCGGGCTAGTCGCTCGTCTCGTTGTTCTTGCACGCGGCGCAGGAGGGCTTCATCTTCGTAGCTCTGCGGTCGCGTTCTGGCTGGTGTTCCTGGCGGGATTGTACCTGGCCGGAAGTCTCGCGGTGAGGGTAGCGGAGGGTCAAAAAGGAGGTCTGATCGCATGCTGAGAGGTTCGGAGCGGATGTGCATCGGTATGTTCATGTGTTCCAGACGGTCGGACTCGACTGCGTCGTGGCTGAACCAGGGGCAGTCGCAGGTCTTCCACTTGGAACCGCATATCATGCAGAACTCGGCACCGCAGCGGCTATCCGACGTGTTAGCACAACCTCAAGCTCAGGTAAGAAGCACCAACATACCATGTCATGTGATTACACCCCTCCTTCAGCTCGACAACAGCCTTGCAGCGATGACACCTCTGCCAACCAGCCTGCTTCGCCTGCTCCAGAAACCGATGCGTCTCTTCGTCCCTCGGACAGTCCCTGATCCCATGCCACTTCCCATTGCAAGTGTAGCACACCTTCGTATGACACCGCCCGCACTTGGCGTACTTCCTCCCGTCGGCGTCGCGGTGGATGTTCTCGGGCTTGATCCACTCGCCGCACCGCCGCGAGGGGCAGTAGATCCTGTTGCGCGTCGAGAACTCGGCGTACTTCCTGTTCCACGTCTTCTTGAAGCCCGTGTCGAAGAGCCGTTCCACGTGCTTGAGCGGGATGTGGTCCGTCGTGCAGCACTTGGGCGGCATGTGCTGCGGGTCCCGGACGGAGAGCTTGAAGGCGTACTTGAGGCAGGAGTTGCACATGCGGTGGCCGCACTTGAGCTTTGCCGTCTTGTGGGAGGGGATGTCGTCTTCCATGCAGACTACGCACTCGACCCTTTTGCGGGGGTTAGCTAAGGCAATGCGAAGAGTGATCAGTAGCGGTGTGACCTACATCTTCATGGGCCTGTCATAGTGATGGGCTTGGATGGCTGGGCCGAAGAAGTTGCCGAGAAAGGAGGTAGATCGCCTGGGAGCGGACGACTGCCCGCTCTGAGACGATGACCCTACCGTTGTGCGAGCCTTTCGGGTAGACGTGGGACGGCTGTCGTGGTATGCGACTTCCGTCTCGTAATAGCGTCCGGTCAGCCTGGAGCATAAATGTTAGAATGACTACCTTGCAATTGTCCATCTCGGCGGAAGTCAAACCTATTGGAGGTCCGATGCCTCGAGCGGGAACGAGACGGAGGTTCATCGACGACAGTGCGACTTCGATAGTCCTTGTATTCCTTCCCAGAAGTGCGATGTTTCTCGTGCATCACCGAAGGAGCCCTAGATGGCGCTCGAGACGGTCCCCGCGGTGGCGTTGTCGGTCCGTCGATAAAGGGGTTGTACTTGGGAGGAGTGTCGCAGTCTTCCTCGTAAATGACCTCACCCCTCTTCGGTCTGGGCAGCGGCTCTGGGTCGCTGTCATCGTCGTAGACTACCTCCCGTCTAGGTCTAGACCTAGGCTCCTCAATCTCTCTCTCAGTCTCTTCTCGATATAATGGCTCTTCTCGCCTCCTCGACTTTGACCTCGGTATCCTCGGTTCCTCCTCTTCCATCCAGGTCTCCTCTCGCCTCAACCGCGGCCGCCTGTCCCTTCGCTCGACAGGTGCATCCTCCTCATATATGACGTCCTTCCGGCTCTTTGAGGGCTTAGGTACTCGTGGTGGGGGTGGTGCTGCCGGCGGTACGTGCTTCGAATGCAGATGTTTCTCGTCCTGCGTCGAGGTGGTAATGTCCGTGTCCGCATCCGATTCCGACAACGACGTTCGGGACGACCGCCGCGACCCGGCCATTGATCGGTAAAGGTGTGAACTGAGGTCGCGGCGGGAGTCGCTCCTCCGACTATCAGACCGCGACCGGTCCTCCTCCTCGTAGATATTATGCGCCTGCCATCGACTTGACACGGTGTTCGCTCTCATCAACCCGGGGGCCGCGGCCGCGCTGGGTCTCCGTGCACTCATGCTCGAAGCCCTCGTCAGCGAGTGGCGAGGTGGAGTCGTCGGTTCCTCGCCAGTCGGGCCCGGGAAGCAGCGTCGTCGTCGTCGATGACGAGCAGCAGCAGCAGGGGATGCTCTCGTGCCAGCCTCCGAAGCGTCTATATCTCCATGTGGCATGCGGCGAGGCGAGAACGTAGCGATGGGATCGTCCGTCGCTGGCCAATCATTGCCGGGAGCAGGTGACAGATATCGCGATGGTCTCGTCCGGCGATGTTCAGGGCCGCCTCGGTCGGCCATTCGTCGCTTCGGGGGAGTCCAGTAAGCCCTGAGCACCGCAGCATTACAGTGTGGGAGGTCTCAGAGCGGCACTTGACGTCTGCGGAGTCTGGCAGCGTTGGGCAGCGTGGTTCTCCGTGAGTGGTCGGGTTGGGGCTGGAGAGTGCATGGAGCTCAGCTGCTATTGGGGGGCTTTGGTTGCATAACAGCTTTCCCGCAACGCCTGCTTTCCTCATGCAACCGTCTAGTCTAGAGCGACGCTGGAGCGCAGTAGCTCGACCGACGAGGAACGGATGCCAATCGGAAACAAAACGACCTAACAGTAATGGCTTTTGTTTTACGCAACTCGACCAGTGTTGGTTTGCTGTGTGCTTTGGGCAGCAGCCATCTGCCCGAGGTGAAAGTGTGGATATCTGGGCTGCCTCAGTGGCCAGACATTGATCTCGGCTGAGGTGTGTAAGACCGGCAAATCCTGAAGGGGAAGGCCAAAAGACAAGGAATCGAGATACACAGTAGGACCGGTGAGCATGCAATCACAGGGCCAGGTTGCGCTGTGGAGGTGGCAGCGATAGACTCGTGTCACTCTCAATGTCTGACATCCAGCAGCGAATGACAGCGACGCGGGCGAAGTTGGATAGGGGACTGGGAGCACAGCGGCAAAGCTGAAATCAGGGTGGCTGACATGCTCGTCCGGTATCGAGATCCCCCTCATTGGCACGTGATCTTCGCTTCCTGTCCCAGGATGAGGACCGTGCTGATCAAGGCAAACAAGCAACGACAGGAAGAAGGAAAGCCTTGAGATTTCTTCTCATGCAGGCAAAATGGACAAGATTGCGACGTTGAACGGCATCGGTTCCGTGTCATGAATGTGCTCATTCATGAGTGGGTTGTACGAACTTGTACCGCCCTGAAAACGTTTGACGAGCGGCCGACCATCAAAGAGAACGAATTGGAGCTTGCAAATGGAGATGTGGGACATGAAAGAACAAAATGAGGCATCCGTTGTTTCTTGTTAGCAACAAAAGCCATGCCAATTGCGCCAAACACAGGCATGAGAAAACATTGCAAAAACAGCAAAAGTGAAACGTGGAGGAGCTGGGAGTCGAACCCAGTACCTCGTGCAGGAACATGTTCTGATTAATCGCCCACAAGTGAGAGATTGATGGAGATGCTAAGCACGCGCTCTACCAGATGAGCTACACCCCCTGGTTGTACTTGATGGGAGAGTTGTCGGTATTTAAGTTCTTGAATCATGTGACAATATTGTGGGCTTGGCAGGGCTCACTGTTGTGGGGACTCTGAGGAGGACCTCGCCTTCGGGTAGCTCTGTTTCCTCAGGACTTACTCCTCAACCAGTACTTACGTTCTGCAAATACAGTCCTCGCGTGGTATTCCGCTTACATCTTGAGACCCCTAGATGTAGTGGGAATGGCTATCATTAGTGCGGCTTTTTCTTTCATAGCATTGCTCCTACAGACTGGCCCGAAAATGGCAATTCAGTTGTACAAATCCATAAGGGTACTTGTCCGGTTCCTCATGTGAGCGTATCAATGCAACTCGAGCACCTACAAATCTCGTAGCATAGTCCCATCTTTCCTCGTTCTCAACACTTATCAACACAGGCATCTATGATTCTACCTCCTCCCCAACAACATAGCAGCAACACTAAACGGCAATGGCCTATCCGCACCGGGATCATTGTGAATAACATAAGGGAACCCCCAACACGGCGTGGACCAAGCCAAGAACACCACAACCCAGACCGCTCCGACGACCTTCTTCCACACCGCACCACTCCTCCCTCCTCCCCCGGATACTCTCCTCCAGCCGGCCTGTACCGCGTCCTCGATCACTATCCCGACCGCCTGCATCAGGAAGAACCTCAGCGCCCCCGAGTCACGAAGCCGGATCCCCACCTCCGCCTTGACCTCTATGACGAGGTGCACCAGGCCCGAGAAGAGGAAGACGAGGAAGAGCTTGATGTATCGCTGGACGAGACCGCGGGACGGTAAGCGAAGGACGGAGTGTGCCAGGAAGCCGGCTGGCGTGGCGAAGTTGTGCCGGAGGAATTGGTGCCAGACAGTGCTTTGATTCGTTCGGTCAGCACAAGCCCTTTCTACAAAACCGCAGGGTAGGTAAGGTAGGTAGGTAGGGTTGAGGATGGAAGAGACTCACCCCCAGAACTTCCGAATACTGTACAACTCGCTGAGTCTCCCAAATGCAGGCCTCCAACCCCTCACCTCGCCGCCGAGCAGTACAGACGGGATGGCCGCGGAGTAATAAGCCGCCTGCAGGAAAAAGTACCCCCCGACCCAATGCATGAGGGAAACGATCAGCCTGGTGACAAACTCCCCGGCCGTTACCTCGTCCAGTCGGGTGAAGAAGGGGACCTTGTCCGGCGCAAAGTCGCTCAGGACGGGCTGGTGCATGGCGCTCGCCACGCTTACGAAGTCGAAGAACAAGCAGCAGGCTACGAAGACGGTTGTGGCTTTCAATAGAAACCGGCTGCGGGAGGGGACGTAGTCCTTGTCCTTGCTGCTGAAGCGGGGGCAGTTCTTCACCTCCCACGGCGTGTTGAGGAGGCGCCTGTCGCATGATACTGAGAGGCCGAAGAGGAATCGTGCCCGTGCCGAACCTGAGGCTTGTTGTTGTATCTTCCCATTACTATGAGGAGTGGTTTTGCGTTCCGTAGGCGGGAAGAACGCGGTCGGCCCCTTTGCCTCGAACGTCCATCTGCTCAGTACTGCTTGGTCGAGGTAGGCGACGCATTCCTGGAAGATGACGCCCTTGACGCAGAGCGTGATGCTGAAGCGGACGGCCGAGTTCAGACCGTCTAGCGCCGTTGTGCTGCAGACTAGGGAGGCCAGGATGAGCTGGATGGGGAGACAGGCAGGGCGGAGAATAGAGTTGGGTGCGGTGAAGCCTATGATGGAGGCTGTGATGGTCTTTTGGAGGGCATGGAGTGTGATGGGGTGCGTTAGGACTTGGCCCAGCCACGTTGGGGAAGACATGGTGTCGAGCAAAGGGAAGTGACACGGAGGAATGGTTGATTTGGCATAGGATTGCTGGAGAAGGTATATGTACGGTGTACAGGACCACCATGAATCCGTTCTTCGCTATCACAAAAGGCATGAGGTTGGGGTCCGGATTTGGGGTCCGGATTTGTGATTGGGATCTAGTGTCGTCGTCAAAATTATTCGATCAAGGACTAACAAGATTAGCTAGAAGACTGGCGACCCTTTCACTACGGCACAGCCAACAGGTGTAGTTTGAGGTAGCAGGGGTAGTCGTATCCCAGCCGGTCCTCCATCGTTCTTAGCCCCGTCGTCGCCATATTTGGCTTGGCTTGCTCTCGTGAAGGCTTCCACGGCTTCCTCCCGTCCACAAGCTCGTCGCCTGGGATGGATTTGATCGTTCCGACAGCATCGATGGCATGCCAGCCCTTTGTCCCCGTTGGTCGAATTGCTTCGTGCCATGTGACTGGCAGAATATCGTTTTCGGCAGCATGGCTTTCCCCTTCATCTTTCACCCCGGCGCAAATGAGTTATCGCCGCACTTCAGCTCCTGCCTCGACCTCACGGCGACTGCACCTCCTCCCCCTTATTACTGCGCCCAAACAGCCTCCTAAACCCGCCCTTACTAGGCGTCTTCGGCCTTGACCTCTGAGATCCATCCCCGGACTTCGTATCCTTCAACTTCGCCTGATGCGCAGCCTGCATCTGAGCCTGCGCGGCCGCCATCTGCTCCCACTTCTCCTTATCCGACCTCATGGGGAACTTCTTCCCGTTCTTGTCGATATCCTCGAATATCTGCTGCTGAAGCATATACTGTGAGTGATGCTCCTGCTGCGAGCGAGTAGGCTTCGGTCGTTCCCCAATGTCCTTCGCTACCTTCCCCTCCCTCTCGTCGGGCCACTCCCGCACCTCGTCCCCGTTGACGACGACGTACCACCGTATCTCCTCCCCACGCTGCAGCTGATCGCGCAGCTTCTCGAACCAACCTGTTCCGGGGCATGGTTGCGTTTTCTTGCCGCCCTTCTTTTTGCCCTGTTGCCCGGGGGCGCCCTCGTCGCAAGGTCCGGTCATGGGCGGGTCGGGATCCGCGCGCAAGCGCTCTTCGTACTTCGCTATCTCGTCGAAGATGGAGACGGATAGGTCTATCCTCACAGCATAATCTGCCACATATGCGTACGGACGCGACACCTCGTCCAGCCGCGACGGGTCATACTCCTCCAGTAGCTTAACAGCAGACCAGTCCTGAACCTTCAGCTCGTCCTCAGCCGGTAAGCCATGTGCATTGAGCGGCGCAGAAGAAGGCAGAGGCGGGTTCGACTGCTGCCGGCTGCGCGTCCGGCTTTGCGAGCGGCTCTTATGGCTCGCGCTCTGGCTGCGCGACCGTGTCCGGTTGCCGTTGCGATGGTGACTCTCGTCGTCGCTGGCGGCGACCGAATCTCTCCTCCCGGTGCGGAGGGTGGCCTTGCTGCTGCCGTATCCGCTCCCGCTCCGCGGAGGCGGCACGCAGTAGGGCAGGAAGTCGAAGAGGTTGTAGAAGGACTCGAGGATGCACTGGGAGCTCCGGGCGGGGATGATCCATTCCGGCGAGGCGTCGTCAAGGTTCTGCACGATGACGAAGACGCGCACGCTGCGGCGCTGCCAACGGAAACCGTGGCAGAGGTAGGTGGGCATTGTGTGCAAGTCTTGTGTTGACCAGAACTTTAGGTGTATTCCAAATCCAGGAGTCCTATTCCAAATACAGTCTTGCTGTCCGCGTATTCCAAGGAGAGCTATACTGTAAGTGTCCGCTTTTTATTTGGAATGTTTGTTGGTCGATGGAGGGATAAGAATAGACAGTGGCTCAATCAGCACAGCAGCCTTTATTGTCGTTGTATAGGAGCTAGGAGGATCAAGTCCGGGGTCGTGATCTGAGACATCCAAACACAATGTGTCGCAGAGTCCCAATATAGGGATCCTTCAGCTGCAGGTTGTTGCAGGACGGGACAAGACCACAGAGCGATACAAGATGGGATGGGATCTGGGGTGGTTCCAGTGTTACCATCCACGAAACAAGAGGTCAAGGAGTCGAGCTGTTGCGGAGCTCTGGGGATGTCGATGCCCTCGATTAAGCTTGATGCTCGAAGGCCAAAGACGAGGCGAAGATAGGGCTATACATGAGATCTCAGCTGTGCATTACCAATGCATACGTGGTTCAACGTTCGAAGGCAGCCAGGCTGGGAAAGGAACTCCGAGAGAGTGATTCGATCATCAGTCAGCAACCACATGCCTTTCTGGAATGTTTGAAAGCTTGAATTCTTGGCTGTTTGGCGGGGGGTTTGAGGGGATATGCAGGGGTTTGATCCCTGCCGGAGCGAAAGCGCCGATGGAGAGGATAGCTTCGCTCCTTCTTGCTCCTTCTTCTAGCTCACCTTCAAGACATGGCTTATCCTGCATCTGGTCGTCTAAGTCTAGGTACTGATCTTGATGACTCTTTGTACCTTAAATCGACTGGGATATTGTAGTTGTGTTGGAGTCGAAGCTGTATCAGCTAGAGTCGTCCGTGTTGAATGTTCGATACAAGGGTTAGGGTTGGGCTAAGTGTTTGGTTCCACTCTTCCTGTCAACTTGACCGCTGCCTGCCAGGTTTCTTACGACGGGAGGGCATGGCTCTCAAGAGTGGACAATCCGGATCCAACGACAGCTGATGACAATGATCACATCTATTGAATCTACGTACCGCCAGAGTTCAGAGCCGCTAAAGCATGGTTAGGGCTGACTTCACGTGCATGCCACACAACGGCCCGGTCCGTCAGCGTCCGTCATTGTCTTGACCGGTATATCTGGAGTTGTGAACTGAGATCTGAGCAAGTGAGCAAGTGCAGCAGTCTTTGGCCCACGTCGTTGTTTCCAGTTCAATCGCTCTCGACCACCATGGCAGACCCCCTCTCCATCGCCGGCCTGGCAGTCAGTGTCCTCCAAGTCTCGGCGGAAATCTTCCAGTACGTGAGCGCCGTGAAGAACGCCAAAGATGACATTAGAAGACTCTCCCATGAGATGTTTGCTCTCAAGGGGACGCTAGACCACATGGTCGCCTTCCAACAGTTCAATGTCCAAGATGCAAGAGACGCACCGCAGATGGAGGCCGTCATCCTCATGACCTCGGAGACACTGGCAACTATCAAAAAGCGGATCGCCAGGCGGAGCACAGGAATC